ATATATATATATATAATATGTGCATGTTTATGGAGCGCTATTTACATATGTCATATACACTTAATTCTGCGTGCGTATGACTCCGAATAATATTTCAATAACTCAAATAACTCAATTATTGGGGGTTATTAAAAGGTTGTTGAGATTCCAAATAACATACAAATACATTCCGCAGTTTGGCGCTTATCTTTTTTCATGTCATTCGATGATTTTGTGATATTACTGAGGGTATTAACCCCAATAAAAAAAGACATAATATTTTTTAATGTCATCCGAACACTGACATAACCCTGCAAAACCCTCTAAATAACATTTATACGCACACAATTTTACATGCATGACGTACGTATTTTTCGTGTTTGTTTATGAATGAAGGGTGAAGAAATTCAAGATCGGGTCATTCGAGGATTTTGTGAGATTATTGAGGGTATTAACCCCAATAAAAAAAGACATAATATTTTTTCATGTCATCCGAGCACTGACATAACCCTGCAACACCCTCTAAATAACATTCATACGCACACAATTCTGCGTGCATGACGTAGTATTTTTCGTGTTTGTTTATGAATGAAGGGTGAAGCAGTTCAAGATTGGAGGGAGATCGTTACCTATTTCTCATACCCAATCGGGAGCCGCGATTACTCGCGGTGGCCGGAGAAGCCGGAGGGGTGGCGTGCTGTTGTGGAGGAGTACAGCGCCAAGCTGATGGATCTGGCCTGCAATCTCCTCGGCGTGCTATCGGAAGCCATGGGACTAGATCGTGAAGCCATAGCCGGAGCCTGTATCGATATGGACCAGAAATTGGTGGTCAATTTCTACCCAAAATGCCCGCAACCGGACCTCACCCTGGGCCTGAAGCGCCACACAGACCCCGGCACCATTACTCTGTTGCTTCAAGATCAAGTCGGCGGTCTCCAAGCCACCAAGGACGACGGTAAAACCTGGATCACCGTTCAGCCTGTCCAGAATGCTTTCGTTGTTAACCTCGGCGACCACGGTCATGTAAGTGGAACACACTCTTTTCTTTTTCTCGTTTAAAAAATTGATTTAGACATTTCGTCGAACGATTAGTGTGCGTGAGTGAAATTACAGTACCTGAGCAACGGTCGGTTTAAGAACGCGGACCATCAGGCCGTCGTGAACTCAAATTACAGCCGGCTTTCGATCGCGGCGTTCCAGAACCCGGCTCCGGAAGCAGTTGTTTACCCGCTAGCGGTGAGGGAAGGAGAGATGCCGGTGATGGAGGAGGGTATCACATTTGCGGAGATGTATAGGAGGAAGATGAGCAGGGATCTGGAGCTGGCCAGGTTGAAGAAGATGGCGAAGATAGAGAGTGGGGAGGAAGGGGCCGCAGGAAAGACTGCTGAGGTTACTGGAGCAAAGGCATTAAATGAGATTTTAGCTTAAGGTCGCACATGAAGTTGAAGAAGTACGATTTGCTAACAAGAAAAAATATTATATGAATACTATGCACGTAGAGTAATGTGCGTAACCAATAAAATCACATCATGATACCCCATGTGAAAGAGAAAAAAAAATTCGCAGTAACACGGGGCACATTCCCCCCCTCGTGTTATCATGTGTTATTGTGTCCAGAGAATATTCCTGGTGTTATAATAACATAATAACACATGAATAACACGGGGGAGAATATTCCTCTGTGTTACTGCGCCTCTTTTTTCTCTGTCGAGAATATTCCTCATGTTATTC